TAGAAAAATCACTTTTTGAAATGTTCTAAGTATAAAACAATTTAAGAAAAATACTTAGAAAAGAGTCGCCACTTAATTTTTTAAAGAAATCAAGAAAACTTATAATTTTCAAAGATTTAAACAGAAAAAATCATTTGAAAATACCAAAAAGGGTTCGGGGTTCAATTTACACTTCGAGAAGGGTTTAAGCATTCGAAGTGTCCGCTAACATGCGGTTGACCTGCGACTTGACTAAAATATTTTTGACTATTTTTAGAAAAATGGTTTAACATAAAAGAAAATATGATAATTTACAATATTCAGTTAACTCTGAAGAATAGTTAAATAACGAACATTTTATATCTCATTTTTTTTTTTAGAGAATGAGATTCAAAATGAAACCTTTGAATTGAATTACAAGTGATTAGTGTATTAATAAAACTAGATTAATTAGAATTTATTTAATTTATTTTTAAATTAATAATTTTAACCAATTTAATAAATTAAAGCATGAAAATCATTTTAAATTGATTGACTAACGTTTTTTTTTTTTGTTGAGAAAATGACTTAAATAAGTATATATTTTTTATTATTATTGATCAATTGAAAAGGTTTGACTAACATTTTTTAAAGTTTATTAGAAAAAAAACTTTAACTTAGAACAATTGAAATGAGTGAAAAAAGTGATGTGAATGAAGAAGACCCCTAAAGAACATATCTTTTTTTTTTAAAAAAAATTAGGAAAATGATTTAACATAAAAATATATAATATTTTACGATATTCGATTAACTTTGATAAAATAGTTAAATAAAGAATAATTTTTAAAATTTTGGAAAAATTGGATCTTAATTGAAACAACTTGGTCAATTAGGATTTTAACAAAACTAGATTAATTAAAATTTATTTACGTCATTTTTTAGAAATAATAATTCGAACCAACTTGGTAGACAAACCAAGACATTATTTTAATCTAATTAAAGATAAGTGAAAGTTTTTGACTAAAAATATTTGAATAAGCATAAGAGTTGATAAAATGAATTATTTTTAAAGAAACTAACATAAAGAATATGGTTCATCTTTTGGGGGATTTAATTAAACTAAATAAAAATTATAAAGTTAGAGTTAAATAACAAACAATAAATAATCACAATTAAATAATTAAAGAGTAAGAGAGAAATTGAATTTGGGCCTCCTTTTGGGCCAAATTCGCTGGATTTTGGGACCTAGGCTCAATTCCCGTTTTTGTATACACTGGTTGTATATCAGTGTATATCGGATGAATACGGCCCATTTTTTTTGTGTATAAGACTGTATACCAAAGGTATACAACCTAATTCAACTTCCAAAACACCTGTTTCAATTTTTGGCTTTACATTTGTTGCGTTTTGATGAGTATAACATGTATACACAATCTGTATATCAGCCCATATTTGTCATTTTTCGACCTGTACACCTGCTTCCTTAATTCGCCACGATGACTGACTCGAAGAGAAAGAAATCCGGGCCTCTATGGCCCAATAGGAAGATGCGAGGATGAGAGGAGCCCATGAGGACTCGAGGCGAATTTTACATGTGACGAAACAAACAAAAAAAATAAAAATACGCAAGTGACAACCCACATATCCAATATAAGGAGTATTGATGTGAATATTTATACCATTGTATTAGAGCCTAAACATCAGGAAGAAAACAAAAATGACTCCCACTAATGTTTAATCACAACAAGAACTAAACCGTGCAAATAGGAGAAAATATCATTCATACAAGTACAACCATAAACCAAAATGTAGCATGCTATAATATCATATTTTCAAATTTATCCCATGGAAAAGACATACTGCAGGAACAAATAATTTAGGCTCTAAACACTCCTAATATTTATCACAGTGAACAAACAAGCATGCTAGATACTATCATTAAGCCAATAAACTCAACACCATGTTAGGCATAAAGACCAATCTAAGACCGCATAACGAGCAATTCAAATGGACATGAAGGGGATATTTCGAACAACCCGCAAGAGATCAAATTTTAACTAAACAAAACAAAACACATCATTTTTAGCCAAAACCATAAAAGGTGTAGCTATATTGGAGAAATTACGATGTTAGAAACTATTTTTAAGGCAAACAATTAATGAAGCATGCTCGGAACTGTACTAGAACAAGAGCAATAAGCTTCTAATAGTCAACATCATACACATCAAGCCATGTATTTGTCATTTTTGAATAACAACCTTCAAATTACCGTGATTTTGAGATATGCTATAATCCAAAATTTTGACTTAAACAAAAGGGGAATCAACTTAATGATGAAAAACACAGAGTAATGAACCCAAAGGACATCTAGGCAGATAATCAAAGGCAAATATTCCATTTTAACATTAACGACAACATTCCACTGCCGGTAAAAGAATTAACCAGTAACTAATTTCACATCAGAAAACGATCCAACATTCACTAGGCCGCAAGACATGATAGAATAATTACGCCAATGTCTCAGTGCTTCGTAACAGTAAACAGAGGGGAAATACATTTTCAGCTAAAGTCATCAACACAACTAAATTTCAACATATGAAAACCCAACAACGCTAATAATAACTAGCCAAGCATTGATAAAAGAAGCTGAAAATACAGTACAAAGATGAGAAGAATTCACCTTATTCCGGGCAGCGAAACGAGGACTTCGAGTGAGAAAATGCGTCAACCACTGACTACGAGAGATTCCGAACAAAAGCAAGGAAGCTTGAGATGGAAATTCGGAATTAAAAACCTTTAGCCTAACCACTAGAAAACCAAAAGAGAACCTTTTGATGGATTTTTATATAACTATATTATGCCTCCCTTCTCTATATTCTTCCGATATTCTTTCTTTGTTTCTTGTCAAAGATTTCCAATTTTTCTTCTAAAAAACCCCCCCTAAACCGAAAGCAAAGATGGACTTTTATAGGAGAAAATCAATTCGATTAGAGGGAAAACGGATTAAAATTTGAATTTCAAATCCCCTTTTTCCGGAAACAGTAGAAAGGATGGGGCTTTCTACAAAAGAGGATGAGGGGACGAGGTGAGTATGGGCGTTGCAGGGTAGTTGGACGAGACTTCCGAATTTGTTGAGATTTGTTGCGTCTGGAAGAGGAAGAACAGGGTAGGGGCGGTTCATGTGTGAAAAGGAAGAAGAAGAAGAGTACAGGAGTCGTTTGGTACTGGGTATGTACGTATTGCTACTGTTGATGTATTGTTGAATGGAATTGTTGGATCTTTTCTATTGTGGGCTGATGGGTTAGGAATTTAAGAGTGGGAAAAGGCTGCTGAAAAATTGCACTTGGGCTGAAGGAAGTAAAAAAAAAGAGGCCCCAACATTTTGGTCTTATCACAAATGGGTTTAGGTGGGTAGAAGGGTTGGTTGTGTTTGTAATAAAAAGGTTAAGTTTTGATTTGAGGATTTGGCCATATAGATTGCAATTAAGTTCGATTAGATTTAAGAATTTAGTCAAATTGAGCTTAATTGGTGATTCGACTAAAAAGCTAAATAAGACGAATTAATATAAATTAATTAATGAGCTTCTTAATCTCAACGAAATAAAAAATAATGAACTTAATTGTAAACTAATTAATTCAATTACAAAACTAATTAACTTGAAATTATAGCTATAACTTAAAGCAAATTAATAAAATATTTAACTAAAATGTAAAATCTTTTGTGATGATTTTTTGAATATTTATAAAATAACGTGATTGCAAAAATATACATATTTATTATTAAAATGATAATTACTTTAAAAATAACTTGAAAGTATTTTGAATTTCATAAAACTCATTAACTCAAAATTATAACCATCCCTAATATTTAAAATATAAAATCTTTTTTGAGACGATTTTCGAATAATCATAAAATATACTAATTATATACATAATTATGTAAAACATATATATTATCTAAAAATTATGAAAAGTGACAAAACTATTTTAAAATCTTGCAAACTATATTATTATTTTTTGGAAATTTTATAAAACTAATTATTTTAAATTGTTTGAAATCGGAGAAGCTCGAAATGATTAATTTATATTGTGGAGGGTCAAAATTGGGTGTCAACATTATATATAATTAAAATTCAAGATTAATTGTGGCGTTGATACGTGACATTTTTATATCTCCTATTATATATAAGTAATTTAAAAAAAAATTGAAATTGAAGATTAATTGTGGCATTAACATTATTTATAGATATAGATATACTCTCTGTCCCATGTTAGTTGATCATAATACTAAATATAGTTGTCTTATAGTAGTTGATTACCTTATTAAATCAAGAAATTATTAATTAATTATTATTTTTATTACCATTGCAATTAATTCTTTTTGAAAGTGTTCATATTTATTTCTAAAAATTCTGAAGAAATTTTTTATGGAGTAAATTAGTAAAATCATCATCTTATTTATAATTTCTTAAAAATTGTACAAAATTTTAGCCTAACCACTAGAAAGCCAAAAGAGAACCTTTTGATGGATTTTTATATAACTATATTATGCCTCCCTTCTCTATATCCTTTCAATATTCTTTCTCTGTTTCTTGTCAAAGATTTCCAATTTTTCCTCTCAACACTTAGCTAACTCTTCTCTCCTCTCTTTAATCAAGAACAAGAAGAAGGTATTTATAGAAAGGGAACTGGGATTCGAAATTGGGGGAAAAGGGTAGAATAGGAATTCGAGTTCAACCTCCAATTTGAAAATTTTCAACCGAAATCCCCCAAAATCCGCACGATAAGAGGGCGTGGATGGCTTGACAGGCGGTTGTTCCAGGACGCAACTGCAGGTCTGTTCCATCGATGAAGACGATGGCAGCTTTCCGTCTTTTTGACTTGTGAAGGAGAAAAAGTCGCGTACTACTGCTGTCTGGTTCACATGAGCTGCTGAATTCGGGTCGATGCTGGGTTTCGTTTTGTGCGGGTCACGATGAGGAAGAAGGAGAACGACGTACAAGGGTCGGGTCTGCGTCGGCTACTGTTTGTTGTATTTAGGACCGTTGTACGTATATTACTGTTGGGTCACTTGGAATTGTTGTTTGGATATGATGTGTGTATTGTGTGGAATGGGTTTGTTTGGTATTAAATTAGTGGGCTTGAATTTTGGTTGGTTAAGAGTGGGCTGCTGAAGGAAGGTATTGAATTGGAAATGGGCCGGCTGAAAAAGGCCCAAAACTTTGGTCAAATGGGTTTAAGGTAAATTGAATTTAATTGGTGAATTTGATTAAAATTTAAATAAGATGAATTAATATAAATTAATTAATGAGTTTCTCAATAATAACGAAAATAAAAATAATTAACTTAATTATAAACTAATTAATTCAATTACAAAA